AGAAATGACCTTTTATCTTGTGAACTATTGACATTTTTTAAGATATAAGCTCATTACGACATTACACTCATCAAGACCTTTCATTTGAGTACCCACATGCATTTTTGATATATTTTTCATATATACATATATATAATATAAATATAATATAAATATATAAATATGAAAAATATATGAAAAATTCATATGGGTACTCAAATGAAAGGTCTCGATGAGTGTGTTCTTGGGATGAGCTTATATCTTAAAAAATGTCAATAGTTCACAAGATACAATGTAATTTCTTAATTATTGACATTTTTTAAAATATAAAGTCATTTTGGTATTACCCGCATCGAGAGCTTTTATTTAAGTACTCACATGACATTTTTCATATATTTTATATATATAGTAAGTATTTGTAATATATATAAATATATAAAAAATTGATGTGGGTATTCAAATGAAAGCTCTCGATGAATTTAACATCAGGATGAGCTTATAACTATCAAAATTTCAACAGTTCTCAAAATAAAAGGTAATTTCTTAATTATGTATCTAGAGATATATTTTATAATATAAAATAAATAATATAATTACCTTGTGAACGTTCATAATTATCATCAATTAATTTTAAATAATCCTCTTTTCTATCAGTATGTTTAGATTTACTTCTTTTAGTCTTAGGACTTGCATTAGTTTCTGGTCCTAAAAAAAAAAAATAAAAAAAATAACATAAATTTGATACTAAATTTTACAAGAATAAAAAATGCAAATATTTTGAAACTAATTTGTTTCTTAAAAAAAATTAAAAAATTGTAAAATGACAGCTTAATTTAATGTCATATTTAATTTGTTCAAAATAAATTCCCTAATAATAATAAAGTAAATAAAATGAATAAAAATAAATTTAAAAAAAAAATGTACCAGGCAAAACAATATCCTGAGAGGTAATTTGTAACAAAAGTGCTAACTGTTGTCGCTCGGACATCCGCGCAGGGTAATTGCGAAAGCGACTGTTACCGCCAGCAGGCATTCCGTATTCATTCGTCCATTAAATATAATAAAATAATCATATCAATCTCTCCAAAAATCTGTAAAAAAAATAAAAATCCATCAATAATTTCCTCAAAAATAAATTCTAACCTCTTTAGAAAAATAAATGGCGACTTGCAGCCATTTTATGACCCACCGAGCACGGAAATGACAACGGTGGGTCACAATCCGTGAAAATTTCACTAACTCACCTGTTAATTGTCCAATTAATAATTTATTTTCAATAAAATATTAATTAACAACCCTCCAAAAATTAATTCATAATTAATTTGAGGTTCGGTGACTTTATTTACGTTTTTTGCGCAGCAATTCCTTCTGCGCATCTGACTGCGCAGGCGCGCGCCCTCTGCGGCGCGTCTCAGAATTTAAATATTGGCGGCAAAATTCAAATTTAAAGTCCGGGGAACCTAAGTAAGAAAATTTAAATAGTTGTTTATTACTTTATTGTTTGATACATTGACAAAAAAATTCGATATTTATTTATAATAATAATAATAATTATAATGATTATTAATTAATGATTAATAAATAAGTTTAACCATGGACCAGCCACGGTTGTTTTACAATTAATTAATTTGAGTCTTCAGACATATTTGTACATATCGCTCATACATTTATTATTATTTTTAATATATGTGTATTAGCGAGAAATTTGGGACTAATTAATTAAAAAAAAAACAATTAAATAATTAGTTTTGTCTTTTAAAACGCAGAGTTTAAAAATTTCATCAAAAGACTGTCGATTGTTTTTATTTGCTACAAGTCTTAGTGGAAGTGGGAAATTTTTTTTTATTATTATTTTTTTTTGTAATTGATAAATATACTTTCACGACTATTGTTTATCACGTACATTAAATATTATTTATTTTAATTATTTATTATAGTTATTATTTTATAACCAGTGTCGCATTGAAGATTTTTAATTTATTGCAAACTAATTTAAAAATTTTTTTTTTTTCATTTAAAATTATATCTAAAAAAAGTTAAATTCATTTTTTTAGTCCCATTTTTTTAAAATTGGTCAAATTATGCCAGATTTTTGCCAAAATTTTTGATATTACGGCGAAAATATTGGTAGTATTAAAAAATTTCTCTGAAAATTTTTTCTCAATCAGTAATTTTAAAATTAAGATTTTTACAATAAAAACTAAATAAAATTTCGCTTTATTAAATAATTAATTTGGTTTAACTGTACTGTGCTCTGTTAAATATTGACATTTTTAAAGATATAAGCTCATTTCGATGTTACACTCATCAAGACCTTTCATTTGAGTACACACATGTATTTTTGATATATTTTTCATATATACATATATATATATATATATATATATATATATAAAATATATGAAAAATTGATGTGGGTACTCAAATGAAAGGTCTCAATGAGTGTAACATCAGGATGAGCTTATATCTTTAAAAATGTTAATATTTCACAAGATACAAGGTAATTTCACCTTCTATCAGTGTATGAAGTTAAATTTCCTACAACTTTTGTTAAAAAACTTTTCTAAGACCAATATTTTCTTCGTAATATCAAAATATAAACCATTAATATTGAAAATGCAAAAATCGGCCTTAGGTCATAATAAATTTTAGTCGAATTTACAAATAATATTTACATATTTAATTAAAAAAAAAAAAAGATTTTCTAGACACTAGACACTTATTTTCTAATGAATAATTTGCGATCCTGCGCTTGGGTTTTAATACAAATCTAGTACTTTCCGTACACTGATTAACAGTATTTAAACTTATCAATTAATGAGCCATTAATAATCCTTTAAATAATTACAAATAAAATGATAAATGAATTTACATAAATGAGATTGCATCTAACCCAATAAATTCCCGAGGAATTAAGATCGCAAGTCACTACTCCAATAATCCTTCAGTTTATTTATTATTTATTATTTATTTTTATTATAGTTTTGGTTTAGGATTACGAGGTCAGGGAATTTTTAAACATGAGCATGATTAATATTCTAAGGACGTTCATGCGTGAGAATAGTAGATCAAAATTTATATTTTAAAGTTCCGATAATTATGTAGTAATTTTTTATAAAATTAAAAACCCTTTAGCGATTTTTTTAAAAAGTTATTCGAGTAAAATATTATTTTTTACAAGCCTTTTTATTTTAAATAATTTTGATATTATTACAGTAGATACTGTAATAAATAATCTTTTAAAATATTATTTACTTAATGTAGTTTATATAATTCGAGTAAAAATGAGCCTTGGACGTTTAAATAAAATATTTATTATTTTATTTAATATAATAAAAACTATTTTGGTTGATTTGTTGACCGAAGTGAAAGATAGCCGACGAAGTTTGCTACATAAATATACACAAACACATTGACCGTCAACACATATAATATTATTTAACTGTTTAATCTGTCAAAAACGTTTACGTTTACATCCACCTAATTACATCCTTTTAATTAACGATCTTGCCTAATTTTATTAACAATTAAAATAGACCTCTAATTAACGGCTCATATATATAAACTAATATTCTACAATAAATCCCTAAAAAATATTTCGGATAAATAAAACAAATTATAAATCATTAGATTTTAGCCTTTGAGAAATTAATGGTTTTAATTTTGATATTTTTTTTATAAAATTAATTTTTGAACTAAAAAATTTTTTTATGACCAATATCAAAAATTTACCATTAATCATTAATGAAATTAATTTCATTAAAAATTACCACTTAAACTCTTACGCATGAACGTCCTTAATTAATTACAATAATAATAATTAAATTATTATTATCATTTTGATTTAAATATTTTAAAATCCTATTACGATTATTATTAACGCGCTTAAATATTTGAGATTCGCGTTTTTTTTATTGTAAATACGTTTTTTATCGATCAAAAACGTTTTTATTAATAAACAATTTTAACAGATAAGTTTTTATCTGCCCTTTGTAAAAAAAAATATTTAAAATGATTCAATTTATGCAAAATGTATAATTATATTAAAGTGACGCAAAAAAATTAGACTATTTTTTTTTTTTAAATTTTTGAAAACTTATTTTTTTTTTTTGGTCTATAAAATTATACCTTAAAAAAAAATTTAATTTTTTAAATTAAAAAAAATTAATTGCGACCTCTTAATAATTTTTTTTTTGCGCCAGTAGTCAATAAATTTGTCAAATAAAATCGTTGTAAATTTTTTTTTTTAATAAGGATGCAGGAGCCTATGGTCGCTGTAGAAAGTCATAATCTATAATTCACATTTTTAAATATATATTAATGAACATATGGGGTGGGAATGTTAAATTATCGTATACTTTATGTAAAAAAAAAAAGAAAAAAAAAATGAGCAAACGTTGATTTTAAAATCGAACCAATAATTATTTCTAATACGCAATTTTTTTTTTTTTTTTATAAATTATTTCTCTACCAGTCTTTGTTTTTATTTTATAATCCTTTCCTAACATTTAATTTAGTTAATTGATTAATTAACTCGATTAATAAATTTATAAATAAAATATGGCACTAATTTGGCTCAATGAGATTCAATTTAATTAATTAGGAATAAAATTCCAAACGTCCGATTTATAAATAATTAATTTAAAAAAAAACAAATAAATAAATAAAACCTGAGATTAATAACTCCTAAATTCCGAGCGTCTAATTAATCAATTAACTCGCGTATTTACAAAAAAAAAAAAAAAAAAATTAAATTAAAAAAATAAATCAAGACTAATAAACAATAAATAATTTTTATCTAAAATTATAGCGACCAGTGTGAGCTATAGAGACCACTTCGACGGGCAGAGACCCCCGTCTTTTAACACTAGGTTCTGGAATACTTGAGTCGCGTTTGAAGTCACGCTTCCAGCCGCACTTACTGGCGTTGTCATTGTCGTCGGTGGGATTTGAGAACATTTCAGGGCCCCCGGAACTGCGCCGGCGCAGTGACTTTTTTCGGTTGTTCCGAGACTTGTTCTGCGCAGTAACGCCGGCGCTGCTGGCGTTCCGGATTAAATACTCCCGGCGCAGCTCTGAGATGTCTGCTGGAACCGAGCCGCGTCTTGGAGATGACGGAATTCCTATTCCGCTGGAGCTTACTGATTCTACTAGCCGGATTTGCTGGATCTGCGTGTTGTTGTTCACTCCAAGGTTGTTATTGTTCAGCGGGTAATTTTCCCGGTAGTCTGAAAATTTAAAGAATTAGTATTTTAATTTTTTTTTTAATAATAAATAATGTTAAAGACCCAATTATTGACACTTGGCTTATTATTGACACTTGCAATTTTATTTTAATTAAAAAAAAAATAAATGAACTCTAATTAATTAATAAATATACTTTTTTAATTATAAATTAAAAATTAATTATAAATTTTAATTAATTAATCAATTAAATTTTAAGTAATTAATTTATAAATTTTAAGTAATTAATTTATAAATATTAATTAATTTTTTTTTTTTTTTAAATCATGGATTCGTCTTACAACCCCTGGTTTAAATTCCTCAAGACCTGTATGGAAACTGAACCGTACTGGATAGATAGAAAAACACCAAGTTGGATGAAATTAGCTTGGTGCAGAATCAGATGCGGCAACTTAGGAAAGGCAGGAAAAAAGGGCTACAGGGATTGGCTATGCCGTTTATGCCAAGACGAAGAAGAGACCTTAGAGCACATATTCAGATGCAGAACATTACTGAATAGTGTCAAGGCAGAGGTGAGAAGCTTTGTCTTGAATTGGATGGGTAGAAAAACTGGAGCAGACTTTGACTGGTTATTACTACAGACACTAAGAGGTGAACCAGTACAAGAAATTTGCCAACTTGTTGGTAAATTTCTTAAACTCACAAGAGATGGGAGTGACCCCTTGCTTGAAGTACATGATGAAGCAGCCCAACAAGTCCCGAGTGAAGGTGTTTAGATGGCAGCCAATGAAGTAGACACCCAGTGCAGAATATTTATTTGTTTTATAATTGCCTCACAGAGGCTATAGTAAATTGCTTTAATTTTAGCCAACAAGTGCCATAAAAGTTAGTTTGTAGAGTCTTTAATGTATTTTGATTTAATTTAAAATGTTCCAAAAATTTATAAATTACCTAAGCTAGTTAAAAGTGATACTAACATTAAGATGAAATTAAGTATTTAAGTAAATGTGGTGCTAGAACCAGAGCTTTAAATATTTTTAAGATGCAGATTTAATTTAAGAAACTGTGATGAAAAATTGTAAAAAACAGTTATTACTGTTGTACAATGCAAAATAAATATCTATCATCTTATTTTAATTTTTTTATTACGGAATTTTTTATTGAAAATACCTGTTGAGATTCCTAAAAGATTATTTAACGCAGTTTCTTGGGGAAGACTAGCTCTTCGTGGTAATGGAACATTTTCTCGTGGTCCTAGTGCTGATCTTCCAGTTACTGAAATGAAATTTATTATTTAGTTAGTTATTAATTTTTTTTTTAAAAACATAAAACATAAATAATTAATTTTAAATATTAATTCGTTAATATACAATGTAAATTGATTTTTAGAAAAAATTTTAAGGTTATTAATTGAAAAATAAAATTTTTAGGTCAAAAGTTAAGTCATTTTCATCAAATTTTTAGGTTAAAAAAATGAAAAAACAAAATTTTTAGGTTAACAAGAGAAAATTAAATCTTTAAGTTAGAAATTGGGTCAAATTTGAGTTAAATATTAGGTCAAATTTTTTAGGTTAAAAATTAAGTCAAATTTCTAAGTTAAAAAATTAAAATTTTAGGTAAAAAATTAGGTCATGCTTTTAGGTTAAAATTTAGGTCAAATTTTTAAGTTAAAAATTAGGTCAAATGTTACAAATTAAATATTAAGTCAAATTTTTAAGTTGAAAAATTAGAAAATAAAATTTTTAGGTGAAAAATTAGGTCACATTTAAAGGTTAAAAATTAGGTCCAACTGTTTAGATTATAAATTAAAAATAAAAGTTTTTAGGTTAATAATTAGGTCACATTTTTGGTTAAAAATTAGGTCCCATTTTTAGGTTAAAAATTAGGTCACATTTTTGGTTAAAAATTAGGTCAAATTTTTAGGTTAATAAAATGAAAAAACAAAATTTTTAGGTTAAAATTAGTTCAAATTTTTTAGATTAAAAATTAAGTAACAATTTTAGGTTAAAAAAATAAAACTAACCTTGTTCAGTCTCCGTAGGAACAGATCCCCTCCTATCACTCCTTCCCCCCGCATCATCAATTCTCGCCATGAGGCCAACAGGCGCTGACCCTCTTCTGGTCCATCCCTAGAACCACAAAAAAATAAACCTATCTCCCAAAAAAAAAACCAAAAAAATAAACCCAAAACCTACCTTTCTTTTCCCATCCTCCCCCCTGGGATCGACATTCTCCTTAGTCTCAAGCTTGATAATCTTAACCGCTCTAACCCTAGAAACCTCCTCGCCCACCTTCTCACTGCCCTCACTCGACGAAGAATTACTCTTCCTCGGCGGAGACTCCGGCGGACTGCCGATAAAGAAGACCCTGGGTTCCGTAAACCTCCTAGCCTCAAAAATGGTTCCCTTAAGCCCATCAACAGGCGTGCTGAACCTCCTATCATCCCTCACCTTCCCCGGTAGAGGTCTACACTCATCCCCAGTATTCTCTTCCCCTCCCCAGTCTTCCTCCTGAAACTCCCCAAGCTCAATTTCTCTTGAATTAGAATTAGAATTCGATTCTGAATCCTTCCTGCTGGTCAAGTTCGCATAAATGGCGGCCGTGTCGGTCACAGAATGGCTCCTGAACGTCCGCTCTTCTTTATCGGCAATCACCTGAACGGAGTACCGACGGTCGGTAAACTTCTTTTCAATTTTTTGCTCTACTAGAGTATAACTCCTAGAATCTAACTTCTTCTTCTTCTTCCTCTCCTTGTTCTCTTCCCCCTCCTCTTGTTCCTTAAGCTCCTCTCCTCTACACTGCGCCATCTCTGCGGTAGTAGACATGTACCTCGTCCGATTACAAGGCTGCAATGGCGGGAAAGTTTGCTGCCTGGTTAATTTTCCCGCTCTTTCCGGCTGAAGAATGTTGCACAATTTGCTCGCAGCGGCAGCACTGGTTATACTAGCAATACTCGGTTCCGGGAGCAAGTTCTCGGCACTAACCGGGCGTTCGTTCTCGGAACTGACGTCACTGTGAGTAGAAAGGAGCGACAAGGAGGACAATTTATTAAACGAAGAATTTTTAAATATTTTTGGGAACTCTGGAGTACAAGGAACACTCTCGCGCCTTCGGCCAATCCTAGAAGACTTGTTCAAGCTCAGTGGAACCGAGTGGCGCCGCCCGTGGACGTTCAGTGGAACTGTCAGCGAAGCTGCGACGCTTGAGGTTCCTTGGTTGGTGATAGATGGCAGCTCTACGCTAGACAGTTCCTCCGAAGATGCCCGAAGCATTGAAGTCTCCGGAGAGGGGGCACCGGAACGGTTCCTGGAACCGTTTGACGTCACTGAGTTGTTCGGGGACAATGAGGAGGGGGAAACGTCTGAGTTAGTCAATTTTTGCCAGCGCTGGTGGTTGGAGCGGAGGTTCGACATTAATTTTAAGCTTAGGGGGCTTGAGTTGAGGAACCGGTGCCATTCTTGGTACAGGGGGGTTACTACGAATTCAAAGAAGCCTACTTGGATCTTTGGAATTGACATCACGGTTCTGTCGCATAAGGGAGTGACTGGGAGGTTCAACTGGCGCTCGTAGTCCCCCTGGCGGAAGAACTCTTCGCAGACTTTGTAGGACCATTTACGAGAGATGTCCCAAGCCCGGCAAGGGTTGGAAATGTCCGCGCATTTTAGCGCGATTTGGAGGATAAAATGGCGGTGATTGGGCGAGGACATGTCGAGTTCGCGGGTGTCTAGGTAGGTTTTGAAACGCGCTAGGAACTCTTGTTGGCGGGTTATGTCGGTTGCGAGGATTAGAGAGCTGATGTGCTGTTGAAGAGGGGGACGTAATTCCGGGGATAGTTGTTGGTACACTCCGGATTCTAGGAGGCAGCCGATTGCTGAACGCCAGTGGTGGTTCTCCAGGACTGAAGTGTTCTGGAAATTAAGGTAGTATATTTTTAACAATTTTATAAGAAATAAATTATGGAAAAAAATATAATTGAGATTTAGAAATTTAAAAAAATAAAAAATGCAATTTTTTGGTTAAATAAAATTTAAAAATTGTCAATTGCTAAGTTGAATGTTACAAAAAAGTTAGGTTAAGAAAGTTTGGAAAATTAAGGAAGGGTTACCTCGTAGAGAGTAGCTAAATGGTTGCTGGTGGCTACTAAAAAGGGTTGGTTTACTCCTGGGTGGTCCAGGTCGTGAGTTACAGCTGCTATTAAGGAGGCCATCACTTCTAGACTCGTCAGATGCCGGCGGATCTGGAAAATTGTAAATCAAGGGAATTATAACCTACAAGTTTAATTATTTTAGCTTGTATCTTGTAAACTATTGACATTTTTTAAGATATAAGCTCATCCTGGTGTTAGACTCATCGAGACCTTTCATTTGAGTACCCACATCAATTTTTCATATATTTTATATATATTATATATATGTACATATGAAAAATATATCAAAAGTGCATGTGGGTACTCAAATGAAAGCTCTTAATGAGTGTAACATCAGTATGGGCTTATATCTTAAAAAGTATATATTATGTATATGTATATATGAAAAATATATAAAAAATATTGACATTTTTTAAGATATAAGCTCATCCTGGTGTTAGACTCATCGAGACCTTTCATTTGAGTACCCACATCAATTTTTCATATATTTTATATATTTATATATTTTATATATATATATATATATGTATATATGAAAAATATATATCAAAAATGCATGTTGGTACTCAAATGAAAGCTCTTGATGAGTGTAACATCAGGATGAGCTTATATTTTTAAAACCGTCAATATTTAAGAAAGTACAGTGCAATTTAACCAAAGTCACTATTTAATAAAGCAAAATTTTAATTTTTATAGCTCATAAGTCACAACAGTCACGTAGTGACTGCAAAGTTGCTAGTTATTATAAAAATCTTAAAAATAAGATAATGATCGATACCTTGTCCTCTTGAAGAAAACAGTGCATAGCTTGAGTCACGTCCGTAGCATGTATGCTATTGTGATAAGGATTTGTACTGTGATAACCCTCTTCAATTAACGCTGAAAAGGTAAATTTAAATTAGCATATTAATAATTTAAAAAAAAAATTAATAAAATTTATTTTCTCACCAAAAAGTTTCCAAACTCTAACAACGTCCAAATTAAAGCGATTTATGAGTCCGTAAGATTGAAACAAGTGAACGCATAATACTGGTAATGAACGACCTGTAAGTAACAATAAACAATAAATAATTACAATATTTATTTATTTATTTATTTATATTGAAAAATAAAAAAAGTTAATGCCGGTTATTGTCTAAGAGGTAGAGAATAAATAGTTGTGGTAGAGATGCTAATTCAATAGACGGTAATATGCGGTTGTACAAACTATTGTGCTTGTACACACAATGAAACAACAGTTTGTTTAAATAGAAGATGTTTTACGAGATAAAATTGTTTTATGATAAAACATAATGTTTGTCCTGGTTCTAAGCAGCTGCTTCTGGTTACGAGGGTGTGCAACTATCTCTGGGGTATAACACACTAAGAGGAGTAGTAGTATGGTAATTTATACTTTTTTGAATTACCAACGGGAAGAGTGACTACCTAGTTTTATTTTTTTTAGGTCGAATTTATTCCAATTCTTCATTTATCTTTTTCATTGATTTTTTTTTTTTGTGATTAATATCACTTATTTCCTCGGAGATTTAGTTTAATCTAAATAATTACTTGTTTTTAGGTTATTAGATTGCTTTTAATTCTTTTTATCTAAAATTGACAATAGTATTGTAGAGTAAAAAATTTTTTATAAGAAGAATATTATTGTAAATTAAAGTAATGAGGGAAGTTTTGAAATTAATCAAAATTATGGGTCAAATATTGAGAATTACAAGAAATATAGAATAATTAAATTTTATATAAAAAAGGTCCTTTAAAATTTTAATCTATCCCTCATTTTTTGGTTAAAATTCTAAAGCTTCTAAAACCTTTTTTTTTTGCTTTAAAGTTTCTTCAACTCTTCCATTACGACCCTCATTCAAAAATTTTCTAAATATCTTCACTAGTTCTTCCAAAAAACTTTTTTAAAATCTTAAAAACCTCAATATTGATCAAAAATTGAATTTTTTCATTATAAATCTTAAAATCATCATAACTGTTGATCTATTGCTCTAAAAACCTTCTTTTTGGGCTTAAAAGTTTCCTCAAACTCTCCTCTACAAACATATTCAAAAAAATTCCAAAATATCTCCACCAATTCCTCAAAAAAATCCATTCAAAATCTTCCAAAAGCAAATAATGCTCAAAAATTCAATTTCTTCATTATAAATCTTAAAATGATCATAACTTTTGATCTAATGATCCTAAAAACTTCTTTTTGGGCTTTAAAGTTTCCTCAAACCTTCCTCTATAATTATCTACCAAATTTTTTCAAAATATCTTTACCAATTCCTTCAAAAAACTTTTTTAAAATCTTAAAAACCTCAATATTGATCAAAAATTGATTTTTTTCATTATAAATCTTCAAATCATCATAAATTTTGATCCAATGCACTTAAAACCTTCTTTTTGGGTTTTAAAATTTCCTCAACTCTTCCTCTATAAATTTATTCCAAAAATTTCCAAAATATCCCTCCCAATTCCTCAAAAAAACCCATTCAAAATCTATCAAAAATTCAATTTCTCTATATTGAAAATATCAAAAAATTCTAAGAATTTTCCTCTAAAATTAATCAAACTTATTTATCTAAAATTTTGACATTCCCTCACGAGTAAAGCCTATTCATTATTAATAATAATAATAATAATAATAAAATCAATAATAATAGAAAAAAATAATATTAATCCTAATAACGCTAAAACGAAGAGTAATAACAGTGATAAAAGATGCAATCAGTGAAATGGCGTCGGAATCCAGAAAATCAATGTCGAACAGATGCCTGTGGGTACACTCACCTCCGGACACTGTCTCCAGGGTGAAAGCATTGAAACGCCAGTGACCGGCCCTCTGCAGCACGCACTGCAACAAATAAAACATAACAATTTACCGATTGCTAATTTTATTGTTACGGCTCAGGGGAATTTATTAAATAGAGCCGATAAATTCTGTCCAATTTCAAAACATAGCAGACAATTTTAAGATTGTTTAAAATTTTTTTGTTACAAAATATAAATATTTTTAAGAAAACAATATTTGAAATTAAGCTAGGTGTAAAATTTTTTTTAAAATAGGACAGCAAGAAATTTTATAAATAAATTATTTTTTATTTTTAAAAAATATTAAAAACAATACCTGAACTTGTCCGTGAAAGATATCGTCCAGAAGACCTGGTTCTTGATTTAATGATCTCGTAGTAAGTTTTTTGCGTCTTCTTTTATGCATGGTAAGAAATCTACCGGTATGACGGGCGCGTTTATTCTCAACATTCAGGTTTTCCAACAGTAAATTCTCCGTCTCGGAGAAACGCATCCCAGTTTCTATTTCTATGATTTCTTCCGTGCACTCGGGGCCAGGGGGTGATGACGGATAGTATGATGACGAGCCGTCGATCACCGACGGCGATACTCCTGATGACGGCAGTGCTGCTTCTTCTGAAAAAAACCAATTCAAAATTGAACATTATTAATGAGAATTCTAAAGTAAATACTTCACTTTTGATTTAAAATTCTGGGGAAAATATTGAAGATGTAGAAAAATTTCAAGAGCTTTTTTATAGAGAATTTTATTTCTTATAAAAAAGGTCCTTATTAATTTTACCCTAACTCTCTTCCTTTTTACAAAATTTGAATTTTTAATTCAAAAATCAAGTTTGAGGACTTGTCCCTAGTTTTCAAAAGTTTAAAGTCCTATTTTAGGGTTAAATATTGAAGATAAAAAAAATAATAAGGACCTTTTATATAGGAAATTTAATTTCCTATAAAAAAAAGGTCCTTAGAAATTTTGTCTTATCTCTCTTCTTTTTCTCAAGATTTGAATTTTTAATTAAAAAATCAAGTTTGAGGACTTATCCGTAATTTTTAAAGTTTTAATTGTTATTATTAGGTTAAATTTGAAGATAAAAAAATTATAAAGACCATTTTTATAGGACATTTAATTTTCTATAGAAAAGTTGCTGATCAATTTTAACCTATCTCTTTTCCTTTCTTAGAAATTTGAATTTTTAATTCAAAAATTAAGTTTGAGGACTTGTCCGTAATTTACAAAAGTTTAAAATACGATTTTTGGATCAAGTTTTGAAGATACAAAAAAATTACAACGACCTTTTTTATAGGAAATTTAATTTCCTACAAAAAAGGTCTTTATCAATTTTGCCCTATCTCTCTTCCGTTCTCCAAAATTTGAATTTAAAGTTCAAAAATGAAGTTGTTCAAGTTATGGGGCATTCCATAGTAACTGGCGGGACATTTGACTCTGGAATTCCATAAATTATGTATAATTATAATTATTTGACTGAAAGTTATACTACAGTAAAATTTATCTAATAATATAGAAGAATAACTAATTAACAAGATCCTTTTGTCAAAAACCTCCATTACTTTTTAAGTTTCTCGTAATTATAATTTGACTGAGTGTGACTGGTGGGACTAACAACAAATCCTTCTCTCTTACCAAAGGTATACTTAAAGTCCAATTGTCAGTTCTTGCACTAAACTGAAAAAAAATACTTCCCTCGAAAATACAAAATTAATCCTACAACACATTGAATATTATAAAGAATTAGACTGATTACCTACACGGAAAGAACAAAATGACACTTGATACCATCTCAGATTATACTCAGTGACATCTGAAGTGAAAAAATTTCAGATGTTAGCTAGTATAATCCAGATTATACTGAATAATATCTGGATTATACTCATTGTAATCTGGATTATACTCATTATAATCTGGATTATACTCATTGTTATCTGAAATTTTTTTTCACTCAGTATAATCTGGGATTATATCCAGTATAATTTTGTTCTTTCCGTGTACGTAGAAACAATTAAAAAAATTTGTTTTTATTGTGACTGGTGGGACAAGCATTTGTGACTGTTGGGACAAGTACTAAATGTCTACATCAAGTTTTTTATTAAAAAGACTTTTATATTATTTCAACCTTAGAAACATTATTGTTTATATATTTAACTATAAATTATTTAGGATAATTAAAAAAACTAATTAAAAAAGACAAATAAAGGATTTGGCATGCTGACAACACGATCTTGATAAACTTAGGTGTTAATTAATAACGAACATAAACAAAATTTGTTCTTAAAACTATAATAATAAATATATTAGTTAATAACAAACATTAAATGAATTTGTTGTTAAAACTATTAAAACAACATTTGACCGGGATACAAGTTAGTACGGCTGAAAAGTTACTAGGAGAGAAAAATCCATTTTCTTATTGATTAAAAAAATTTTTCTTTACAAATTAGTAAAATATAAACTTTTTATATAATAAATTATCATCTTGTACTACTTAATAATTTTTTTTTCCAAAGGAAAATTTCGCTTAGAATAAAAAATTCAATGTTAATCCCCTTAAGTCTCATTAAATAAAATAATAAACTCCTTGAAATGTCAAGAAAAAATAAATCTAATTGAACACGGAAATCTTCATTCATAAATCGTGGGATAAAAACGCTAAACAAGTAAATAAATTAAATATTCTTATCAAATCAAGTCATTACGCAAATAAATATATATTTAATTCATTCAACTAGTTGTTTGCTCGGCTAAATAAATAATTACACTCTCGTTTGTTTTAAGAATAACGAGAACAAATAATGGAAGTTTCTAATACAGAATACAGAATTGCAATTACAACAATTGAAGATGAAATTACAGCGCTGCGATTAGAAAAATGTGTTGGATGTGTTGTAAGTAAGGTATGTGTGACAAAAGGCTAAATAAATTTGTGCCAGGAATAATAATAAATATCTTTGATGTTTATATATCTATAGGTGATGCGTGCCGCAGCTGTATTAACCGTCTGGATGGCAATGGCCTCGTTAATACGTAACAGGACACATTAGTCACGTACTTTATGTTTAAATATGGAAGAATTTAATCGCTTTTTATTGTTAATTTCTTTTTATTTTAATTTTTTTAATATTTATTATTTAATTTTTCGACAAAAAATTAATTTTTAATTATTTTTTATTAAGAATAATCATTAAAATAATTTTTAAAAAATTTTTTATTAAAGTAATTAGTTAAAAAAAATTTTAATTAATTTATTAAAGACTTTAATTTAAAAAAAATTAATTGAATTAATTTACAAGTTCACAAAATTAATTGTTAGTTAATTAATAAATTAATTAACAAAAAAAAAAAAACAATGAACTAATCTTAATAAAAAAAAAATAAATATTAAATGGAATTATCGGAGAGCGTTTAATCCCAATTATATTTAATTCACGCTCGAGAATATATACAGGCTGGTGGAAGTGGATTTTAAAATAAAATAACAAGCCAACTTTTCAATTGTCCCAATGAAACTCAATCTTATGAACACACAATAAATTGTGATTTACTTTTTTTCATTTAATCGCCAATTATAAATTATGAGAGAATTTACCTTCATTAACTTCTATTGTCGAGATCATATACAATTATTAAATTTTATTATTTTTCTTAATTGAGAATATTGCAACAATTCGTTGGAATTTGATACTTTTGATTTTATTTTTAGCTATACAAAAGAATAAAAATATCAAACTAACTTAATTTTTAGTTATGAATTTTAAATTACTGATAACTTTTGATCTATTGCTCCAAAAAACTTCTTTTTAGGTTTTAAAGTTTCCTCAAACCTTCCTCTACAATCCTCAACCAAAATTTTTCAAAATATCTTCACCAGTTCTTCCAAAAAACTCTTTAAAAATTTTTAAAATCTCAATAATGATCAAAAATTTACTTTTTTCATTATAAATCTTAACATTATCATAACTGTTGATCAATAGATCCTAAAATCATCTTTTTGGGCTTAAAAGTTTCCTCAAACCTTTCTCTACAAACTCCTTACCAAAATTTTTAAAATATCTTCACCAGTTCCTCAAAAAAATCCATTTAAAGTCTTCCAATAGCAAATAATGATCAAAAATCCAATTCCTTTATTATGAATCTTAAATTATAATAACTTTTGATCTAAAGCTTCTAAAACCTTCTTTTTCGGCTTTAAAGTTTCCTCAAACGCTCCTCTACAAACTTCTACCAAAAATTTTCAAAATATCTCTACCAGTTCTTCCAAAAAACTCTTTTAAAATCTTAAAAATCTCAATATGATCAAAAATTGACTTTTTTCATTACAAATCTTAAAATCATTATAACTTTTGATCCAATCATTCTAAAACCTTCTTTTTTGGCTTTAGAGTTTCCTCAACTCTTCTTCTACAAATTCCCTTCATAAATTTTCAAAACTCTCCCCTCAATTCTTCAAAAAAACCCCTTCAAAATCTTCCAAAATCCACTGATCAAAATTTCAATTCCTCCACTATAAATCTTAAAATCATCATAACTTGTGATCTAAAGCTCCTAAAACCTTATTTTTGAGCTCAAAAGTTTCCTCAACTCCTCCTCTATACCCCTCATTCAATAATTTTCCAAACCCACCCTGTAATGTTCCAAAAAAACCTCAAAAATTTGATACTCACCAGAGATTCTGACAAAGACATCCTGCTGATTTTCCTCACTGGGCGGTTCAGCGGTCACCTAAAACAGCCAAAGACCCAAACGATTAGCAAAATAACAAGCCAATGACTGATATACTGATCTTAGTTAGATAATACAGTTGATAAATAAATAAAACTTGGCAGAAAACGATCGGACGGGTGCCAATCGCAAATAGGCCGTGCCGAATTAAGATTCGTTTGTTGTTTGTTGCTTAGACTGTCTTGTTGTCTTGTCTTCCTAGTCTTGCACTTAGCGAGTGATATAATGAAGTTTAATTATTGAATTATCAAAATAGCCTCGGATTACAAAGGAATGTTTAGTATAATTATTATTATTATTATTATTATTATTATTATTGTGTCAAGGATAAGGATACATTATTAATTATGTATAAAGGCATGCATCTGATGTTCGTGATCTAATCGAGAAATATATATATATATATATATAATATATACGCGCTCCAGAGATTGACGTTAATTTCCGCAAGCTGTAAGCTTCTATAGCCGATTTTTAATTATAATTATAATTATAATAAATAGTTCTCTTAAATGGAACAAAATGGAGCTTAGTTGCTTTTTTATTTACAATTCACAATTAGTCTAATTGCTTCGCTGTTTCGCTACACCTCGAGTGTGTACTGCAGTGTATTTTTAATTATTCTGCAAGCTAAATTATAATTAGTGACCTTTTTCACGTCTCCATTATTTATAAGAAAGCGCTGTGATATTTAGAGTTATTCACTATTTCTATTTCTTCTAATTAATTTATACTTTTTTTTTCCTTGTTTCTGACAAAGTAATTGGAATTTACGATTACATCTGGTTCTTGTTAAACGGGCGTTTAATATTGTTCAAGATTTTATACTGTTGTTCGGACAGTTTAAAAGATAAATTCATTTTTAAGAAAAAGAATTTTATTAAAATGATAAAAAATTTGATTTTTTCATTATAATTCTTAAAATTAACATAACTTTGGACTTATTGCTTCCAAAAATTTTTTTTTGGGCTTGAAATTTTCCTCGAACCTTCTTCTACATTTTCCATACTAAAATTTCCAAAATATCCCCACCACTTGCCCAAAAAAAAAATATTCAAAGTTGCTCAAAATTTCACAATGTTCAAAACTTGATTTTCTTCATTATTAATCTTAAAATGATCATAACTTTTGACCTATTGCTTCTAAAAATTTCTTTTAGGACTTAAAAGTTTCCTCATACCTTCCTCTACAAATTTCCAAAATATCTCCACCAATTCCTCAAAAAAATCAATTTAAAATCTTAAAAATCTCAATAATGATTAAAAATTGCCTTTCTTTAATATAAATCTTCAAATCATCACAACTTTTGATCTAATTCTTTTAAAACCTTCTTTTTAGGCTTTAAAGTTTCTTCAACTCTTCCTCTACAAACCCTCAACCACAATTATCAAAATATCTCCTTCAATTTTTCCTAAAAACTCTTTTAAACTCTCAAAAACCTCAGAAATGATCAAAAATTCTATTTTTTCATTATGAATCTAAAAATTTCCTCAACCTTCAATCTAACACTCCCAAAAATAATTTCCTCACATCTTCTTCCACAATTACGAAAGAAAGCCTTCCTCCCGCTGTAAAAAAAAAAATTTCTCAAACTTCGAAAGCTCTAATTTCCAAAAATACAAAACCGGCTTACCTTGACAACAACAAATCTATTTTTATAAAACTCTATCTACTTTCTTGATCAACTCGGATCGTACCAACGTAAATAGCTCGAAATATCAAAAGAATAAATTAAAAAAAAAAAAAAAAAAAAAAAAGCGAAAACTATATTTAAAATTACCATAGAGACTGTTAGTATTAATTTGTTATTCAAAACCGATAACAAGGCTTATAGAATAATTTATCGACATCAATTAAATGCTAAATATAGTATTAAATACATGAATAATAAACAGCGATTTATATTTATATGTATACAAATAAATATATACAATAGATATGTATCTTATGTTATTATTATTAGCCAAAGTTCCGGTACAACATTTTCCGTTTTGGCCTATCAATTATCTTGTTAATGTTTTTTTGTATTTAATGCCGGGCAATCAGCACTGATAACACACAAAAGCTCTAAACTATCGTCTGCTTTCAATGAAATTGTTTAATTTATTTTTTTATTTAATATCAACTCGACTCAACTCTTTATTTTAGCTCGCTCGATAGAATAGAATGGAGATGAGGAGAACTTAGCTCGCTCTCAAGTGCCAATTATAATGTACAGTAAAACTTTACGATAAATCAGTTTGTCCTACTGAACTTTGTTTCATGCTTTTTGATTTCGTTTTTTTTTTTTTTTTTACGACTTTTAATTGCTTTGTTTTAGTCTTTTTCTTTCTTTATTTTAAATTGGGATTTTTTTAATGGGATTTCTATTGCTTTGGAATCTTTAGAAGTTTACAAATTAATTGGCAGCTTTTGAAAGAGCTAGGGAGATATTTTTGATTTGCTACTAATAAGGTTGGAGAAAAAGAAAATTTTAAAGCTAAAAAAAAATCTTTTTAAACTAAAGATCGAAAGTTATCGGAATTTTGAGATTTTTGACGAAAAAAACCTATTTTTGGTTTTTTAAAGGGTTTTTTTAAAGAACTGGTGAAGATATTTTGAAAATTTTGGTAAAAAGATTGTAAAGGAGGGTTTGAGAAAACTTTAAAGCCGAAAAAAAAATTTTTAGGAGCAATAGATCATAAGTTATATTAATTTTAAGATTCATAATGAAGAAATTGAATTTTTGAATATTGTGAAATTTTGAACAACTTTTAATATTTTTTTTTTGGGCAAGTGGTGGGGATATTTTGAAAGTTTTTCATTGGAAATTCGTAGAGGAAGGTTTGAAGAAAATTTTAAGCTCAAAGAAAAATTTTTAGAAGCAATAGATTAAAAGTTATCAATAATTTAAGATTCATAATGAAGAAATTGAACTTTTGATCATTAATTTTTGGAAGATTTTGCATGGAGTTTTTTGAGGAATTGGTGGAGATATTTTGGAAATTTTTATAGGAAATTTGTAGAGGAAGAGTTGAGGAAACTTTAAAGCCCAAAAAGAAGTTTTTAGGAGCAATAGATCAAGAGTTATATTAATTCTAAGATTCATAATGACAAAATTCAATTTTTGACCATAATTAATTTTTGAAAAATTTTAAATTAATTTTTTTGAGGAACTGGTGAAGATATTTCGAAAATTTAGGTAAGGAATTTGTAGAGGAGAGTTTGAGGAATTTTCAAAGCCTAAAAATATATTTTTAGAGACAATAGATCAAAAGTTATCAATAATTAGAGATTCATAATTAAAAAAAGTCAGCTTTTGATCATAATTTATTTTTATAAAAATTTGAAAGAGGTTTTTGAAGGACCTCGTTAAGTTTGTAGAGTAATTCGGACCAGATAAAAAAAATAAAGTCGAGTATAATTGAAAAAAGTAAAAAAAATGAAGTAAAAATGAATAATTATAAAACTAATAGGAAATGAAATTATAAATTGATAAGCACTGAGAGGTTCCAATAAAAGTATAAGAAAAAAAAGTTAAAATTAAAAAACGAGGGTTGAAAATTGAAGACGAGAGAAACCGGCACTTGTAAGTTAAATAGGTTAAGTGTCTATTATTATATATCGATAGATTGGTCTAACCTACTTTGTCACATGACAATTCGATAGTACTCTGATTAAGATAAATTCATTAATAATTAAGACCTCATTATTATAATTATTCAAAGTTAAATATTTTATTTAATGTCTCTAGGTTTTTATTCACTATGATTGAAGTTGATTACAGGGCTGTAAACAATAGAAATACTCTCGGTGCAAGTGAGCGCCGTAATAGAGACCCAGAGAGCACAAATTAACATTACTCGGGTTACTCTTGTTACCGGATGTACGTTTATACTCGATTGCATTCATTCACTCCCGATGTTACATGTTGAATAACATTCTCAAAGGACGATCCTTGCTTGTGTTAGAAAATATTTCTTTCTGTCTGTTTGTTTATCAATTATGCTCGAATTTCTTCCTTACAAATCAAAATTATCATTTCTTCATTGTAAATCTTTGATAACTTTTAAACTATTACTCATAAAAAATTTTTTTTGGGCTTAAAATTTTCCTCAAGCCTTCCTCTACAATTTCCATACCAAAATTTCCAAAATATCTCCACTATTTACCCAAAAAAAAAAATATTCAAAGTTGCTCAAAATTTGACAATGTTCAAAAATTCAATTTCTTCATTATTAATCTTAAAATTAACATAACTTTGGACCCATTGCTTCCAAAAATTTCTTATTGGGCTTAAAATTTTTCTCAAACCTTTCTCTACAATTTCCATACCAAACTTTCCAAAATATCCCCACCACTCGTCCAAAAAAAAATATCCAAAGTTGCTCAAAATTTAACAATGTTCAAAAATTGACTTTTTTCATTATTAATCTCAAAATTTCCATCCTTAAAATTAATTTCTGGAGCCAAAAAATTCTCCAAACCTTCCCGTAAAAATTGCATTGAATTACCGAGGATATTTATACCCACAAATGCATGATATTCATACATATGATTAAATAATGTCCAACATAATGTTGCAAGACAAGTGATCAATAAATTATTGATAAGATGGATTTGTATGTAATATAAAAAAAGGTTAATATTAATATGACAAGCATAAAACAAATATTTACATTACCAAGATAAAACTTTAACATTTTTTCCGTTACACATTTTAAATAAAATAGGTAATTTTATTTTAATATAAAAGCCAAGCCTTCACCGACTAATTATTTACTTAATATTTTTTCAATAATCTTTCTATTCTTCATTATTATTTTTTTCCGAGTTTTATTGATGGATCGCAGACGAGTGATTGATGGATTTATTGGATTTGCTGATAAAAGAAATAAAATTTAGCTGTCGCGAATCAAGAGCCGGAGAATTATTAACGTTCGATAAAAAATTACTGATTTTTTTTTTTTTAAAGTAATAAAAAAATATTCTAAATGTTAATATATTTTTTTTTTAAATAAAAAAATCAATTTGAGCTTTGGAAT